GACAAAATATATACAGTTAAAAAACAAATATGTTTAAGTATAACATTATGGATAATATAAAAAATAAAGTAAATTATAATTGCTTGATGCAGCACTAACTTTACTATTAAAAGTATAGTAAAAAATATTACATGAGCTACAGTAAGCATTAAAGTATCTGCACATTCTTTGAACAAGTGAATACATGGCATTTATTCTAGGTGTTGTATATGTAAAAGTGAATTGACTACGGCTATAAAAAAGGGAACATGCAACCGATTCAAGAAGTAATATTGAATCTATCTGGTTATGCAACATTCCATACAAAAACTTCAAATGCATTATTACTCTTCTTAACTCCAAAGGATGTAAAGAAAATCTATTAAGAAGCTGCAAGTGGTCAGTTCCTCTCAACAATTTTCTTTGTCTCCTTTCAAGCTTATTTTTATAAATATTGCATTGCGGACTCCAAACAATACATCAGTATTCCAGCTTAGATACAACAAATGCGTAATAAAGAGACTGATATGTTCTAAAATCTCTAAAACCCCCAGTATTATAAATCCCAAGCTTTTCATATGTTCTCAACATGATTAGAACACGTAAATTTATTATCAAACATTACACCCAAATTACGAATGGTACAGCATATCTCCAGAACAGCCAAGTCAAGCCTAAAACCAAATTCAACACTTGAAATTTTCAAGTTGTAAGACATAACCTTACATTTAGATATATTAAGTTTTAGCTTGTTGATTTTACACCAATTTACTGATATTATCGATCCTGGAAAACACCTTCAAATCATCGGCAAATAGTAGTTTTTTACACTTGATGCCATCAGCCAAGTCATTAATAAATAGTAATAATAGGAGTGGACCCAGGTTGGACCCTTGGGGTACTCCAGAAGTGGGAGAAAATTTTTTCCAACAAAATCCATTGTAGCTGACATATTGGTGACGGACATCAAGATATGAGTTAAACAATAATAACAGTGAATCAGACAGCCCAAATGAGTTAAATTTAGAAACAATTATTATATCGATGGTATCAAAGGGATTGGGAAGATCTATATAAATTGTATCGCCTTGGCCTTTTTTATTGAGTGAACTTGTTAAATTAGGTTAAATTAGTGACAGTTGATCGTTTAGACATATTGATACGGTGATAAATAATTTGATTAACAAGGGATAAATCTGATATAAATGCATATTTCAAATACCTTAGCAAAGTAAGATATTATTGATATTGGCCCATAATTTTCAATGTTAGCAGGATCAGCACTTTTAAATACTGGACAAATTTTGGCAATTTTCCAACAAGTGGGAAAATTGCTAGATTTAATGGAAATGTTAAGTAAATATTGCAAAGGCTTAACAAATACATTAATTCAATATTAAATGAATGCATTTCTTGAAGATGAGTAACTAATTCTATATGAAAACTAAATAAAAGCTCACATCCTTCCAAACACTTAAATGATTTCAAATATTTTTCAAATGCAACTGATTCTCCATGGACTTGTTTTAAATGTCTGTTTAGATTTTTTTTTGTAAATGTTTTTAAACGGGTTTCACAAACTGGTAATGAACTCATTCTGTGTTTTTAATCTTTTTGATAACTACAAAAACTAAACTAACCTAACAACTGTATTGTATTTGGCAAAATTGCACCGCGAATGGCAGATAAGAAAGAGCATCGGCTGCAATTAGACGCTCCTGATTATAGATTGCCTTCCGTCCTTCCGCAGAAGATGAACAATACGAAAACCTGTTTATAGATTCCCGTACCCTAAAGACTGATTTATAGATTGCCTTCCTTTCTTCCTCCCCTAAAAGATAAACAATACGAAAACCGTAGTGCCGTTTGTAGATTCCCGTACGTAAACGGCACTGCGGTTTTCGTATTGTTTAGAAGGTAATCTATAAATCAGGCTTAAGAATGCCCTTTCTTTCTCCCGTAAAAATTTTCAACTTTTATCTATTACCGTTTTCTGTTGTCTGCTGAAGCAGACAGGTCGTAGACGGCCTTCCTTGAGAGGACAATATGGGACTCAACTATGGCACAAAAATAAGCTGTTAATTATCAAATATACAGGGATGGTAATGTGCTCTTAGGCCGTTTAATAAATAAGGACAAATGCAATATGAGACGTGGGAGTGGTGGAGTGACGTAATAGTGGTGGGGCAGGCCAGACCGCGCCGCGCCAGGGCTGGATGCTCCCGTGTACGAGTTTTGGTTCATGCCGCGCATGCCGTGCGATTACACGAATAATAGTAATATTATCAAAGAAAATAAAGAAATATCTGGACATAGTGCGTTTTTATTAAACTTAATATTGAAGAAAGTTTTATAATATGGATAATAGATGCTTTTAGTCCTTGATAACATTTAGGTGTTTGGTGTTTTAAATTGCCTATTCTTTTTGTTTCCACAAATCAAAGTTTTTCGGGAATCGATTAAATTTAATGTTTTTATTTAAAGGGTTTTTCTTGGACTGGTTGTCTGAATTGCATCCAAATATGCCACACCGCATTTTAATAAATGCAAATGGTACGACACAAACTAAAACACAAACAAAACAAGTTAACGCAACACAAAAACAATAATAAACAAAAAGAACAGGTTAACACAACGCAATAACAATAATTTAAACACTGAAAATAAATTCGAACCTTACCTAAAGCAAAAACAACAAGTTAAACAAAAAATAGAGCAAGTTAACATCCAACAGCATCGAAAAAACAAGAATTTTAGCAGCAGATAATTAAAAAGCACGTTAAAGATTTAAAAACACTCATCAAGTGGCATATTTAAGCCCCGCCCAACATGCGCACCATCTTATCTTAAGGTGTATGTATCTTGGTGGGATTGTAAAGCAGTTAGAGGAGGGGAAGTAAAACATTGGCGGACGTTTAATTGTTTTGATTTAATCGTTTTAAAATCTTGTACTGCACGCTTATGGCAGATGGGAAATAAGTATTTTGTTATTCTATTCGTTCAACAATGGTTGTTTGTCTCTCTTATTTATACGTTTATCTCACTTATTCGTACGTTTAATATAGCATGCATCTTTGTTTATTAAACGGCCTAAAAGCTCATTACCATCGCTGTATAAATAATGTGATATGATGAAAGCTATTGATGAGAACATATATGGAAAACAAACTGGTAAAGAATTGATTAATTGGTTGATTTAGAAAAATACTTAAAGACAGAATAAACAAAGAAAATAAGTGAACAAAAGTGATAGTGAAAGAAAATAGACCAAACTGATAAATGAACTATAAATAGTGAGAATATATTGTAATGGTTCCGAAAAAGAAATACCCTGTATAAATTTATTAGAATACGTGTTATTATATATTTTATTTTTCTAATTTTAAAATAGGATTAAGTAATAAAACTTTATTTTTAAGGCAAGCGAAATTTCAAATTTAGGTAGAAAATTTGCCAAACAAACAAGAGAGGTATGCACTAAGCTGGAGGAAGAGTAAATCTGGCATACACATTGGGCGAGGAATGGTTTTTGGAAAGGGAAAATGAGGCAGAAGCGTTTTGAATTTGGTACCGTACAGTTCGTTTTCTTTGGTAAAATTGTAAAAGCAAATTATTGTTCTAAAATGATTGTTAAAAGTGTTGTTAGTGTATTCTACAAGGTTAGTTCTAAATATTTAATCTATTTAAATGTGTAGTAAAATTAACTAAACGTAATATTGTGCATTTTTAAATTGTTAATATTATTATTATATGATTATTGCTATTATGAGTATATTTATCCTTTACTATTACGTTTAGCTGTATTTTACGTTATTTGTAACCCTTTTCTTTTAGCTATTACCAACCCTATTCTCGCTTTTATTATTATCACTATAATTTTAATAATTTGCTATGCTCAATGCTTGTACCGCTCAAATGTAACCTTGTATTTTGTTTGTGCTTAACCCATCATTTTGTACCCTTTTCTATAACGTGGTTAAGCATTGTTTTATGATCAGTCCAAATTTATTGATGTATTGCGAAATTACTCGGTGCTTAACCAGGAGTGCTGACCGTTATTGTCCAACTTTGAGTACTCTTTGTTTGTGTGCGTGGGCCTTTGTTGTATGAACTAATATTTTTCTCCCGTGAGGGGAAACAGGTTGCCCTAGGTTCTCTAGGGTTGCATCGCTTTTCCACGACCCTTCAACTAAAATAGGCGGGTTGCCTCCCTTTTGTGGACCTCGTTACATTCTGGGCCTAGCCCGGCTAACTAACCCCAATATTCTTCAGTTTTAAATCTTTGTTTAAATGCAGTATCGAGCCATATCGCCAATACATTAATTTGCGTAATTTTTAAAGTACAATGCCTGACCGCGTATTCCTTTGCTACTTCATAGCCGACCAGGGTTTTTTCTCAGGCTCTTTTTCCCTGGCCGAACCCTCCTAAGAGCCACCCCTTGCTTGTTTGTAAAAAGTTAACGTAAATTAAATTGGGGTAAATTAAGCCACTGTATTTTATTTCTTATAAACCTAATTCTCCCACGTACCATTCTTAAAGCAATGCATCTAATAAAACAAGTAACACAGCGTAGAGGTCCAAATTTGGGTAAGACGATCATGAGCCAAAGCCACAAAATATTTAATTTATCAATTTTTCATAAAACTTGTTTTAACGAACCTGGGGTAAAGAGAAATATTTACAATATTATATAAATGATTCAAGGCATGAGTTGAACTAAGACTCTCTTGATTGAGACCCTTGTTCATATTAACTTTTTTAAACATAATGAGCTGGCCAAATAGCTTTTAATTAAGCCAAAGGCCATTATCCCTGAACACAGTGCTCTGTGTTCAGGCTGTTATCATCCTAACAAAAGTAAGATATTCGAAACCGTTCATCGTTAGAGTGTAGATGTGTGTTCCGTTAAAAGCGTCCTAAAAAAAGTTAAACTGTAAGTCTCCTTACTTATTCCTTTTTACTATAGAAATCACTAAACTGATCATTAGAATAGTTTAATTTGTTTTTATCCGCCGCAACCATGTTTGGTGGCGGTGGTAATGATGACCCAGGGGGTGGTGGTCCTAGCAATAGCAATGGTTTCGCGCGAGCAAACAAATTATTAAAAAGATCTCCTAGTACAAGGGAGGCGGTAAACGCATTGATAGACTTATGTGAACAGGACGTATTGCCGTCATACATAGACCGAGAATTTTTATCTCAGTTAGACATGTCAGACGAAACAAAAAGGGAACTAAAAATCGCGGTAGACAGGGGTTTTCTACTCTCTCCACATGAAGAAAGGCAGGATATTGACAATAAAACAAGAATAATATCAGATTTTAAATTAAATACAAGTACAATTCCGGACAAAATGGAGAAAAATGGGGATTGTAATGAAAATAAATCCAAAAAAAATGACCTTAATAAACTTTGTTTTTCGGTGTATGATACGGGCCCGTTTGTAATTAATTTAGAGTCGTCCAATGACAAACCCATTAACCATCAAAAATTGGGTAGGGATTTATTTAATAACAATACATATAATATTACTAGAATTGACAGAAGGGGAAGGAATAGAGTTGGGTTAAGTTTTAAAAATATAAAGGATTCAAATAAATGTTTAAATGACAATGAATTTATGACAGCAAATGAGTATGTGGCATACATACCTAAACATTTAATTACGAGCAAGGGCATCTTAAAAAATGTTGACAAAGACTTCTCAGAAGAGGAGGTCCTAAAAAATTTAAAAGCAGTAGGAAAGAAGCTGGAATTTGTAAATGTGAGAAGAATAAAGAGAAAACAGTTAATGAGAATAAGGAATCAGAATTTATTAATACGTCCATGATGGTGTTTACAGTCAGAGGAAAATATATTCCCGAGAGGGTTGAAATGTTCTTATTTTCAATTCCTACGGAGAAATGAACCAGTAATTCAGTGTTTTAAATGTTTGAGGTATGGGCATATGTTGACCCAATGTAAGGAAAAGAAAAGATGTAATAGATGTGGGGATGATTCTGGGAGTGGTGATATTCATTTGACCTGTGATATTAAATGTGTGTTTTGTGGCCAGAACCATACCTCGTCTGAGGTTGGCATTAAATTTAAAGATCGTAGTTGTAAGGAATTTCTAAGACAAAAAAAAATCAAAGAAGTTATGTCCGTAGGGATCACCTGGAAGAGGTGACTCTTACAGTAATAATGAGATCATTAATTTTAATAATAAAAATTTTCCAATGCTGATTGATACATCAGAGGAAGATAACAGTAATATCATTAAAAAAAAATTAATTTCACAATAGCAAAATATTCCGACAACTATAAAAAGGGCTGCGAAATATTATAATGATAGCGAAATACCGTCTACTCCTAAGAGGTCTTTATTAAACAGGGGAGTCACTATTTTAAGGGAAGAGCCATCCAGTTGTTCTCAGGAGGAGGATTGTGAAACATTGAAAAAGCTATTTATACAGGTACTGGAAAAAAAGACAGAATTTCTTTTTAATCTTATTAATAATAATTGTGCAAATAGGTTTAACCTAGTAAATCAAATTAATGAAATTAATACATTGGAACTCAAGAAGCATAATTAGTAATAAAACTAGTCTTTTAGAACTTATTAAGAAAAAAAATCCGGAGATAATCTCCATATCGGAATCCTGGTTAAAACCAGATTTCGCTATTAATATTAATGGATACAATAAAATATTAAACAATAGATTAGATGGTAAAGGGGGCGCAGCCTTACTAATAAAAAATCAATGTTTTACAAACAAGTCTAATTGAATGTTCAATTGGATCCTTTGGTACAGTATGTGGTGGCGGAAGTTGAAGACATGACAGTGGGTTCAATGTATATTTCCCCTTCCTATAAGTCGGATATGCCCTTTTGGAATGAAATCTTTGCATGTCTCACTAATAAGTTTATTTTATTGGGGGACTTCATAACTCTCTGTGGTATAGTTACTGTAACATCTTAAACGGGAGACTATTAGGAAATTAGATTATACTTATGACCTTGTGGTATTAAACGATAAAAATCCTACTTTGTTAAATATTGGATATAATAGTATGATTGACTTGGCAATAGGCACAGCAAATATTGCAATGAACTGTAAAAGTCATACGCTTAAGGACACATATGGAAGCGACCACTTTCCAGTTGTTGTGGAGTATGGAAATATCCCCATTTCTAAGAGAAAATCTCTGGAGAAAAACTTTAAAAAGGCCAATTGGAAGGAATATTATGAAGTTATTCAGAAGGAAATATCCAGCAATAATACCAGTTCTTACAATCATTTTCAGAGTACACTAATAAAAGCCGCTAATCAGACAATTCTTAACAAGGTTCTTATAAACCATCTTAAAACTTGTCCTTGGTGGGATGAGGAATGCTCTATACTAGTTAAAACTAGAAAAGAGGCAATAAATAAATTCACTAAAGATGGACTTTACTCTTCATTTCACGATGCAAAAAGAAATATAGCCTATGTAAAATTTAGACTAAAGAAATAAAAAAGGCATCCTTGTAAAATGTAAGTGAAGTTTGGAACAAAGTTAGACGATTTGGCGGTGGTTTTGTCGGGAATAATAGTTTTAGACTTAATGATGACAATTGGAAAGATAGATTTATGGACACCCTCGCCCCGCAATCTTGTAGCTCCGTCCTACGTTTTCCAACGACGTACATAATCACTGTATTATGGTACCAATAAGGATTTTGGAACTTCTTAGGAAGGGTAAGAGACTCTGCACCAGGGAAAGATGGAATTTCATATAGTATGATTAGAGAAGCCCCGCCCGAGATCCTTGAGTTCTTGGTAAAAAATTTTAATGATATTCTACTGAATGAAAAAGAGATTCCAAAGGAATGGCTGAAGTTTCAGATAATTCCCTTACTAAAACCAGGAAAAGAACCGCTAAATCATTCAAGTTATCGTCCTATTGCACTTTCATCCTGTGTAAGAAAAATCTTGGAACACATCTTAAAGGACCGTATAGAATGGTCGTCAGAGATTGAAAACCTGTTCCTGGAGTCCCAACTTGGCTTTAGAAAGGGTAGTGGAACAATGGACTGCATATCATTGCCAAAATCAGAGATTGTAGGAGGTGTCATTAAAAACGAAAAAAGTACCGTGGTTTTCTTAGATATTGCTAGTGCATATGACAATGTTTTACCTGACATTTAAAACAAAAAAAAATAATGAAGCGGATATAGTCCAAACTTCCATCAAGGGCCTTCCCCAAGGCTCAGTGTTGAGCCCGATATTGTTTAATTTATATATGTGCAAAATAATGGATGTTTTGTCCCCGGGGGTCAAAATCATTCATTACAGATGATATTGCTATATACTCCACTCATAGAGATATTAAACTGATTTAACTTAGATTAAACTCCACTCTCCATAATCTGAAGTTCTGGTTAGATGAAAAAGGTTTAGAAATTCGTCCGGAGAAATGTAGGGTGGTGTGTATTTACACCACAGGTTAGTTTAAATAAATAGCTTCAAAGATTATAATTACAAGTCGTTTTATTTGCCAATATTTACAATAATTGTTGTCAGTTATAATTTATTATTTTCTTTCTTCTAATTTCCTTCTTCTGTTCCTTTTTCTAATTTCCTTCTTCTGCTCCTTTTTCTAACTTCTTTATTTTGCTCCTTTTTCTAATTTCTTTATTTTCTTTTTTTTCTTGTCTTCTTTGTTATCTATTCCTTATCTCTTTATTTCTTATGTTTCTTTAAATTTATTATTTATGTTTAGTTTTATTTATATATATATATATATATATATATATATATATATATATATATATATATATATATTGTAACAGTCTGTTTTTTTAAGAATTTAATTTAGTTTGGTAAATAAATGAAAGTCAGTCAGTTCCTGTGTTTGGGCTTTATTTTTTAAGTAAGGATATAATGTGTATAGGTAACTAAATTAATCTTCGTGTTTTAGTTAAGATTTAATTGTAATTAGGTATAATTTATATTTAAGTTTAAATTGCTAATGTAACTTTTCACGGTACATACTGTATAACAAAGCAGTCTGCCACTGAACAAACTAAAATTTACTAATATGGTCAGCCATTTGTGAATCTGATTTTGTGGCACACTTAAGGTGAATTAATTGCCCAAAATCTAAGATATTTTAGTAATCAATTGTTTAAATTCGTGTTAAAAGGCTCAAATCTTGTGGGCCTTTTTTTGGTTGGATTTGCCTTCTTGGTGAACATTTTTGGGAATCGGTTGGTTTTGTGAGGACAAGTTTACTGTTGTATTGACACCAGTCCTAGATACAACTTGGATTCCATTGAAAGGCTACAATTGATCTACAAATAATGTAAAATAAGTTGATTGGATAGCCAGGATTTATCGACAATACCTGATTGTGGAGTGGAATATAGTAACCAGCCAGTTGTGGACTAATATCCCAGCGTTTCCGTGCCTTGTGAATGCCGGATTTGTAAGGTTTCAGCTAGAAACTACCTTCAAGTAAGCCATTAACTTAAATCTGTAAAAAATATAGTTTGTAACCTATTATTAAAAGTAATGAGTACTTACCTAGTGGAAAAGACATTCGATTAAGTTTTTAAAATAGTTAGGGCCTTAATTTAGTTGGAATTTTGTAAAACAAACGTTTATTTATGTTGTTTTGGTTCTGTCAACTCTCACTGCGAAATTCCCAGCCATGCGCTGTTGCTTCTAACGCAGGCGCTGTAGGCTTCGCGCGGTATGCATCGCACAGTGCGACAAATGTTTTAATTTTTGGTTAAGTTTATTAATTAAATTGTATTTAAATTGCAAACTGGTGTTATTGTGAAATTTTTATCCCGACTTCCTGTTGAGTTTGTCGCAACTGGCGCCCTTGACTCAAGATTTTCGTTCATACTTACCTGAATCCCGACCTAGCGTCGACAAATAAGAGTTGCCGAGGTAAGTGCGCTATATTTTTATTTTTTTAATAAAGTTAGTGTCACAAAATTGGCACCGTGCAACGTGGGGCCCAGAAAATCTTGAGTACCTTTCCTGTTTCCTTTTCTCCTTTCCTAGTTTTCACAATAACAAAAGTTCGCGTTGCTTAAGTAGGGGACAATTACTTGGGTAGTTTTAAAGTTTAAAATATTAGGTGGTATATCCAATTTTTTAATTTTTTATTTGTTTTTAAATAATTATTGTATCATTATAATTGATTATGGAGAACCTGTACGTGATAGACCCTTCTTACCTGAGTGAATCAGAAATAGATTACGAGCTTAATATAAGGGATTTAGCTTGTAATAATGTTGATATTAGTACCAAGACAAAATGCTTAAGTATTTGTTTTAAAACGGATGCAAATAAACCTACTA